TTCCCTAGGTATAACTTGGTTAGTTTCCGGGACTTTCTGGTTATCCACTGCCGTGATATTTTCTAGGGTAATCCACTTATCTTATCTTTTGACCATTAATTAATTTATCTAAGTTTTCTTAACAATGGCCTCCTCAGGTTTTGATCTCCAGGATTTTATTGAAAATCCTTCCGTAGCTAAATTACGTGTTAATATCCTGAAGAAAGAATGGAAAGAAATAGCCAACTATTACAATATCCCATTTTCACAGCAACTGACTAAGGAAATGTTAAAAAATCATGTAATTGAAATGTTGGTTCAACAAGAAGTTTTAAAAGAATCCGCTGTTGACCGATTAACGCCCATGTCCAAGAACCTTCAACCACTATCCACCACCCCTCCTCACTCAGAAGTTGCTTCAGGTCTGGCTAGCCCTCAAGAAAAAACACAAAGAGTAGACGCCTTAGAACTAGAACGAGCTAGGTTCGAGTTCCAAATCAAAATGAAAGAACTCGAGTTGGAACAGGACAAGTTGGAGCAGGAGGTTAGACTGAAAGAACTACAGGTGAGAGAGACAGAAGTCACCTTAACATCGGAGTTTAAATCAAAAGAAGTGGCATTAAAAGAGAAACTAGCTGCTTTTAACCCTGCTACTGCTTCTTCCCTTGTTCCCGGGTTTGATGAATCCGATATGGACGGGTCATTTAGGACTTTTGAGAAAATAGCCGGGAAGAATGAGTGGCCAAAGGACCAGTGGGTGTCGGTGTTAGTTCCTAAATTATGTGGTAAGGCTCGTAGAGTTTATAACTGTTTAGACCAGACTGATGACTATGATAACGTAAAAAAGAATATCCTCACCTCTTATGCTATCACGCCAGATGGATACCGGCAGAAGTTTCGTAAACTAACCAAACCATTTTCACACACCTTTGTTGAGTTTGCTCAAGAAAAGCTTAGGTTTTTAAGAAGTGGTTAGAGGCTACAGAGACCTCCACATTTCAGGATTTGTTAAATTTGGTAGTCCTGGAGGAGTGGAAGAGCAAGATACCATTTCACATCTTGAAGCATGTGGAGGAGCGTGGAGAGGTTAATTTAGGGCGTGCTGCTGAGCTGGCTGATGCATACGCCTTGCTGGTGGAGTCACTGGGCAGTAGAGAACGTGGTACTTCCCGACATGTTAGGTCCTCCTCTGATGATAACCTTGGGGGCGTGAGTGGTAGGTCGAAAGGTCCCACACCTAACCCCCCTGATGCAACCAAGTTTACTTGTTCTTACTGTAAAAACCCAGGCCATACGATCCAGACTTGTAAACACCCAAAGTGTCGAATTGCTAAAAGTAGTTCCCTGGATCTCAAATCCAAACCAATAGCAACCACCAATGTGGAAAGGCCCCATCAGGATCTCTTCTCTTCATTCACCTATGAGGGAAAAATTTCAATCATAGAGGGGTCTCGTTCTTTCCCTATTCGTATACTACGTGATACGGGCGCAGCACAATCTATCCTCCTGTTTAACGTCATTCCTGATATATCTACCGCATTTACTAATGAGAGTGTTCTAATTTCAGATCTCTCATCCCATTCTTCCTATCCTTTAGCTAAAGTGCACCTCCAATGTCCCTTGATTACTGGGAAGTGCAAATAGCCATTAGGAAAGACCCAATGCCTGTGTGCGGCATTCATTTATTATTGGGTAATGACTTGGTAGGAGATCTAGTGGTTCCCAACATAAAGACAGTCGACTCTCCCTTACCTGTCAACTCCACCACTGACCTTGAAGAAACTATTCCTCACCTTTTCCCATCTTGTGCTGTCACCCGGTCACAGAGTGTGCGAAATGGGCCCTCTTCATCTGAAACCACCTCCAATATCTTACTACTCACAGAAAATCTGTACAATAAGACCATTAGTAAGGATGAGCTCATTACAGCCCAACAATCTGATCCATCTTTGTTCAAACAGGTGATGAAAGACCTCAGTGTGGACCATTGTACATCTTCGGCTTACCACCCACCATCCCAAGGTTGCTTGGAACGGTTCCATCAAAACTTTCAAATCAATGCTAATAAACTATCTCCCCTCAACTATATAGTCCATACTCCTGATCGCAGGAAAGATTCACAACTTGTTCACATTAATCTCATGAAACTTTACCATTCCAGGCAGTCAGAGGAAGACATCCCAGAGGCTATAAGCCTACCTGTATTGCATACAGTTTTGTCAGGGCCGGAGCCGGAGACAGATGACATGGACCTATTGGAGAATTTAGACTTCCCTCTACCTAAAGAAAACCCTGCTAACAGTCACATACTCAACAACTTGGATGAGTATTTTTCTGTTTTGAATCCATCTCAAGCAACAGATCTCACTAAGTTATTATCAACATTTCGTAAAGTCACGTCAGACCTCCCAGGGTTTTGCAATATACTTAAACATAATATTAAGCTAATCTCAGATGATGTACAACCCATTAGGCAATCAGCATATCGACTAAATCCACAAAAAAGAGAGATTATGAAAAAGGAGGTAGATTTTTTGTTAAAACATAACTTAGCTGAGCCTAGTACCTCCCCCTGGGCTTCACCTTGCCTTCTCATTCCAAAACCCGATAGCACTTTTCGTTTCTGTACCGATTATCGTAAAGTGAACCAGGTCACTGTCTCAGACTCCTACCCTTTACCTTTGATTGAAGATATAATAGACAGCATAGGCTGTGCAAAATTTATATCTACCGTGGACTGTTGAAAGGATATTATCAAGTGGGACTCACGGATAGGGCAAAAATAATCTCAGCATTTATAACTCCATTTGGTCTTTTTCAATATTTGGTTATGGCGTTTGGCTTTTCTAATGCTCCGGCCACATTCCAGAGGGCCATCAACTACCTAATTCAGGACCTAGGTGGGACGTTCGCCTACCTGGATGACTTGGTGGTGGTGTCGGACGGCTGGGACGAACATCTGGTGCGTTTGGAGATACTGTTCGCACGACTGCAAGAGACTGGATTCACCATAAACCTGGCTAAATCTGCTTTTGGCCGGGCCTCAGTGACTTACCTGGGACATATCGTTGGACATGGTATGGTGAGACCCAAGGACGCAAACGTTAAAGCCATCTTATCCTTCCCCACTCCAAGGACGAGGAAGGAACTCATGCGCTTCCTGGGGATGTGCGGCTACTACCGTCGGTTCTGCAGTAACTTCTCCAGCGTGGCCGGACCCCTCACAGACCTTACCAGTTCTGCGGTCCCTTACATCTGGAACCAGAGGTGCGACCAGTCTTTCCACCGCCTCAAAGCCTTCCTTGCCTCCAAGCCTGTAGTCCACCCCCCTGACTACACCTTGCCCTTCCATCTGCAAATCGACGCTAGTGGTGTCGGAGTGGGGGCTGTGCTCCTACAACCCGACCCAACCACTGATGTCCTTCACCCTGTGGCATACTACTCCGCCAAGTTGAAAAAACATCAGACCAACTACTCGACCATAGAGAAGGAGGCCCTGGCTCTGGTGTTGGCAATAAAGAAGTTTGAATGTTACCTCCAGTCTTGCCCACAAACAACCCTAGTCTTCACCGACCATAACCCACTCACGTTCATCCAAACCAACAAGACCTCCAACCAGCGAATCCTCCGCTGGGCTCTCCTCACCCAGCCCTATAACCTACAAGTCCGGCACATAAAGGGGGTGGACAACCTGATTGCAGACTCCTTATCCCGAGCTCCAGTGGAAATGCAGCAGCTACTCTCCAGACGCACCAGGTGATCACCTCCTTCGCGCCCGCGCTATGGAGGTCTTTGGAGGGGGGGTGTGTTACGAACCCCTCCACCAATTGTCATGATCTACCTACCCAGCACTACGAACCACGCCATCTATTGTCCTGATCTACCTACCCAGCACCACGAGCAACGCCATCTAGGGACGAGACACGAGTATGACTCGTCTTAGTTACCACTCCGGGGTTTCCCTTCTCCATATCCTGGTTGTTGCGTCACTTCCTCCAAGTCTTCTTTGTCAGCTCGAGTTCGAGGAGAGTTCAGTACACTCTGGGAAGTGACCACAGGATCACCTATCCTGGAAACCTACGGCACAGTGACTACCTACCGTCTTCTACAATACTCAGCCTTACTCGTCAGCCATCTCAGCTCCGCACTTAAGTATTTGTAATCTTATATTGCCTCCCCCACGTCCACTTGCTTTAAATTATTGTATGTTGTATAAATATGTATATACTGTTAATGTTTCGGTTAAGTATGGTTAAGGGTAAATTATAGAAAGCTGAATATTTTGGTTAAGGAATTTATGGTACTTTATTATACACAACAAAAACTCGCATCCTTTGTCTACCCTTTTATAGTCCGATTGTCTGTTTTTTTTTTTTGTTGCCTGTTGGGATCTGGGTAGACTTTTAACTATATTCTAAATCCCCAACTCGTAACAACATGCACATCTGGCCTTATTGCGCTTGTTCTCGAGATGCTTGACGCCTTGGGTACAGGTGGAGCGCCATAGACTATGGTTGGAGGCAATAGTTTCAAGATCCTTTGGAGGAATGTTACATTTTTTGAGCGTCATTCTGAGCTTGTCTTTGTACCGTTTGCATTGTCCTCCAGCCAGGGTTGCGGCTTGCCTCGGGCAGCTGCCCGTAGAGGACTTGGCGGGGGAGTCGGGGCTCTACCATGCAGATAACGTCTCCCGTCCATTGCATCTGTCGCTTCGCTAGAAATGCCTCTATGCTGGTGGTGTTGGCGCGCAGGAGAATGTCAGTATGAGAGACTTGTCCTGCCAGGTCAGCCCAAGAATGCTCTGCAAACATCGGATATGGAAGGCCTCGAGGGATCTGTTGTGCCTTTGGTACGTAATTCACGCTTCAACCATATAAGATGGTGAAAATACAGACAGCTTGGTAAACAGAAAGTTTGGTTGTAAATTTGAGGCTGTTATTGTCGAATACTCTGGCGCACAGACGACCAAAGGAGGCAGCTGCAAGATGGATCGGAACCTGGATCTCCTCGTCGATGTTGTGCTATGGAGTAAGAGCGCTACCAAGGTTTGTAAAATGTTCTACTTGTTTGACAGGTTCTCCGTTGACCACGAATGCAGGTGGTGGGTCTGCACCTCTGTGTTGATCAGTTATCTCTGTATTTTGGATGTTAATTTCTCGTCCGATGGTCTGATGTATGGGGAAGACAATCGAGAAAATGTGTTGGAGAGCCTCTAGGGAGTGAGCAACTAGAGAGCAGTCGACAGCATATTGGAGCTCCAGGAGGTGGGAGGTCGACGTTTTCGTTATTGTCTGGAGGCGGCGGAGGTTGAACAGGTTGCCGTCTAAGTGGAATTGCATCTTCACGCCGTCATCGTCGCTCATGGAGTTAAGGCTGATCAGGGCCTCTGCTGTGAGGTAGAGATTGAAGATGACGGAGGCCAGAACGCATCCCTGTTTCACACCGACCTCAATGCTACAGGGTTTGGATTTCGTGGCTCCTGCAAGTACACATGCTTGCATATCCTCATGGAAGCTCTTGAGGATTTTAAGAAATTTTGGAGGAACACCAAACTTAGAGAGAACTGTCCAGGGCAGTTCTCTATTGACAGTATCAAAAACTTTCGTTAAGTCGATGAAAGCTATGTACAGGTCACGGTTCTGTTCATGGCATTTTTCTTGTAGTTAACGCACGGTAAAGATCATATCAGTTGTGCTGAGATTTTTACTGAAGTCACATTGGGTCTCAGGCCGAGTGGACTCAGCGATGTGTAGGGCTAATCTGCAGAGTAGAATTCTGGCAAGTACTTTGCCTGACATGTGTATACTTGCGTGATTGTTCATACTTGTTATTGTGTGTGTATGTGTGTGCGTCTCTATTTTATGAGTGTGTACATGTGGGTGTGTATGATAAGAGAAAACGGAAAGAAATAACGAAATAAAACCATTAAAGAATGACAAAGAGGGTGAAAACAACAACACCTGGGAAAAAATTACAGAATTGACAGCTGGAGTTAATTGTTCCTCTTTCCCAATTACCGCTCACCTCTGCGAGAGCAAAGAGGAAACAGGGGGAGGAGGGGGGGGGAGAATAAAGAGAAGGGAGAGAAAGAGGAGGGAAAAGAATGAAGAGAGAGAAAGAGGTGAAAACGAAAGCAAAAAAATAAGAAGAAATAAGTGATATAATTAATTTTCATGTCAAATTAACGGATACGAGAGTGAACTAAAATACTTCATGTGATCATTAGTAAGATCTCCACTCCCTCCCACCTCTCTCTCGATTTATCTCCCGACTACTCTCCCTCATTTTCTCTGTTTCCCTTCATCCTTCCTTCCACCCTTCCTCCCTCTCTCTTTCTTTTCCTCCTTTTCTCTGTTTCCCTTCCTCCTTCCTTACCCCTTTCCTCTTTGATTCCTTTCCTCATTCCATAACAGCTTCTTTACCTCCCTCATCTGCTCCCTCTCGTTTTCTTTCTCCTTTTCCATCACAAACACTTCCCTCCTGTTCTTTTTACTTTCTTCCCCACAACCTTTCTCACTCCTTCCCTCCCTCCTTCTCCTTCTGCCTTACACCTTGCTTTCTTCTGTACCTCTTTACCTCCCTGCATCCCTTCCTCCTTCCGTCACCCATCTTCCTTTCCTATCTCACTCACTTTCTTCCCCCTCTCACACTCACTCCCTTTCTCCCTCTTTCTCTTCCTCCCTTCCTCTTACCCTCACTACCGTTCCCTATCTCCTCCACCTTTCTTTCTCTTTCGCCTCTCCAACTTCCCGTAACCCACCCCCCCCCCTCCACACGCACGCACGCACACTCACATGATGTATATTTCAAGACAATATATTTCTTGTATTGGGCAGAAGATATAAAAGAAAGGGGAAAATCAGCCTTCTTTACAACTCAGAATTATTCCCAGGCCACAAAGATGCCATAGTGCTAACCTATTTTGAGGTTTTGGTATACTTTTATTTTATGTCGTGTGTGTGTGTGTGTGTGTGTGTGTGTGTGTGTCTCTCTCTGTGTTGGTTGCCCCTCGTGTAAAGAGGATGGCGTGAATTTGTTTAAGGTAAAGAAGCTGTCGGCAACACAAGAACCACACATTAAGTTAACGAGCTGCCTGACCAGGTGTCAAGGAATAGTTTCAGAAGACCGGACAACTCGCCAACTGCACTGGCTAACCATTACCCCGGAATGTGATCCGCAAATCGATTAACATCCAGGTTCCCAAATACTGTTGGGTAGACAGAGGCAAATGCTGTAAAGAAACGCCTTTAGTATCACGCTGCCCGGGGATCGAATCCGGGTCCGCTCGCAAGCGAGGCGAGCCTACTTACCATTACAAATAGGTCTTCAGCGATAGAGAGCAGAAATTGTCTATAACGTTACACGTATATGGAGCAGTTGTCCTCCCCACCCTTCCCTATAGCAGCGAGACATGGGTCACATACAGGCGGCACCTAAAAGGGACTTGAAAACTTTCACCAATGTAGTCTACGTTCCATCCTGCGAGTTCACTGGGAAGACAAGAGAATAATTGCCAGTATTCTTGCTGACACGAACTGTAGGAGCATCGAGGCTACCATTTTCCATGAATAACTACGTCGGACTGGCCATGTTACCTGCTTGGACGACAGTAGACTGCCAAAGCAGCTACTTTACAGTCACCTAACAAATAGTAAACGTAACGCTGGCGGACAACTGAAAAGATATAAGGATAATCTTAAGACAAACCTAAAAAAGTGATAAATCGACCTCCCTCGCCTGGAGACGATCACTCCATACCGTAATGCTTGGAGGATCACCACACAAGAAGGTGTCAATACTTTCGAGTTATCCCTACAGCATAACGAGGCAGACAAATTCAAACGCTGGAAAGACGCTGCCGCCGCCCCTTCCGCACTAGATGTATCCCCCCACATGTGCAATATCTGTGATCGACCCTGACGGTTACGTATCGGCCTCTTTAGTCACCTCAGAACTCACCAACCTAGATGACATCCTTAACAATTCATATCATTGTATCATATCTGGATGATCGTCATACTCGATTCTGAGTGACAGCAAAGTAGAAGTAGTAGTGTGTGTGTGTGTGTGTGTGTGTGTGTGTGTGTCTGTGTGTGTGTGTGTGTGTGTTTACACAAAGGGTGGTGAAATAGATCTAATGTGGCAGCATTATGTTAGTGTTAAGGTGCAAGCACTCCTTGCTTCCTCTTGCTTTCAGCTACCGCCGCTGGCTAGCCCTTGTAGCGACAAGGGAAGCAACTTGCTTAAGTCTTCCCCTGTCAGTAACAGCCTATTCATCATCAAGACTCCTGCTGTGCCTCCTTGTGACAACACACGGTAACTGGGTGCCTCGTGGGCCCAAGCTAGACCAGCAGGGGATCTCGGAGTGGCAGTGGGCCCCAGAGGGACGGCCCATAGGCACACTGGCATGTGGACAGGTCCTGGGGTCTCCCAAGCATTGCGCCGCTGCCTTGCGGATTAATCTTGGTAGGTATGAGGCTACGGGAGTAAACCTCGAACAAAAGATATGCGGTGGAGCTCAAGCAGACATGCTTACAGAGCTCCAACAAGATCCCAACGGTGGTATAGGCGGAAGAGGTGACCACCATGTGAGCCGAATGACTACATCGGTGGACGAAGTCAATGCCTGATGGACAGGCTACTAAGGCAAAACCCAACAAGCTGGGCTATCGGCAGTCCATTGCAACTCTCCCTCTCCCCAGTCGTTGCAAAACTTGCACTACTGGATCAGGAAAATGGAGCGCCAAGATGTGTGGTTGCTGCCTGCGCTCCTTTCGAACAGCATAAATCAATTCACCTGCAGCCATCATCCAGCTCATCATACCTCTCATCATCATCAAAACCCCTATATCCCCAAAACGTCCTATGGTGACAGACGAGTGATGACGGGGACAGGCAAAGATGACAGCCGGGAGTCACTAATCACATCTCTGCACACGGGAGGCAAAAATTAGATGGTTGTTTATGCACTCGGATCTAGGACGCAATGCAATCTGGTCCAGTCTGTGCGACTGAGCAGCCCTTTCGAGGACCCACTCTGCTCACCCCACACGGAGAGGGGGCTAGAAAATGTGCCTTAAACATGGCCTGCCTGAAAAAAAACAAAAAAACAGTGGGGTCATCCTTATGCCGTCGAAAACACAATTATAATTACAGATCCAAGCAAAACCAAACTATGCAACCTCTTATGGTCGCTGCATGGAATGTCAAAACCCTTTTAGATACTGGCACAAATGAGCGTCCTGAAAGAAGAACCACACTTGTGGCAAAAGAGCTGGCAAGGTATAACATCAAAATAACAACAATTAGTGAGTCCAGGCTCTCAGACGAGGGTCATCTCACAGAACTGGGGTGTGGCTATGCCTTTTTCTGGTAGGGTAAGCTTGCTGGGGAGAGAAACCGCATTTATAGAGTTGGCTTTGCCCTCCGCCAACGCATCATATGCAGGCAAACTGAAATGGCTATTGGGGTCACCGAGCGCCTCATGACATTCCGGGTCCCACTGAATCACCCACGTCATGCCTTTTTCATCAGTGAAAACGCCTCAAAACTGGATGCAGGGGATGACATCAATGGAGGCGTATTATGCCCACCTCGACAGAGTGTTAACCTGTATCCCCAGAGAAAATATGGTTATGCTCCTTGGCGACTTCAATGCCAGAGCTGGCAGAGATGCTGACATTTGGCAGGGAACCGTAGGGAGAAATGGACTAGGCAAGTGTAATCCCAATTGCCTACTCCTCCTCAGCAAGAGTGCTGCACACAACCTCACTATCACCAATACCTTGTTTACAAAGGTCGATAAGTTCAACGGATCGTGGCAACACCCACGATCCAAACACTGATATCTCATTGACTACATCATTGTCCGAAAAAGAGATCGCCGAGATGCCATCATCAGCAGTGCCATGCGTGGCTCAGACCACTGCGACACTGATCATCGGCTCGTCAGAGCCAAGCTACCACTTCACGTCGCCCCAAAACGGCGAAGGCAGCAAGCCTCTAATAGAGGTTTTAACACTAAGCGTCTGGAGAATGTAGTGGTAGCACATGCTCTCAGAGAGCAGCTCGAACATGGGCTGATAAGCAACTCGACAACAAAAACCCCAAATCTTTGTGTCGAATGGGATATTCTCGATACTGTCATGACAAAACCTGCAGAGGCCCTCGGCCAGATCGATAGAATACACCAGGACTGGTTTCATGAAAATTACCCAAAAAATCAATTTACTCTTCGATGATAAACGTGCGGATTTAACTGACTGGTAGAACAACCCTCTGTCTTGAACCAAAGCTGATACCTTCCCCTTGAAGAAAGTGGCGTCCCAGTGCGAACTTTGAAATCAAAAGAACGACTGGTTTAAAAATAAAGCATGTGAAACCCAAAATTTGCAGATCAGCACAAGATGCGCTTATTTTTCAATTCCACAAAAACATTTTATGGACTAATCCCTCGTGAGGTAGCCCCCCTCCGCTCATCCGACGGTAACTCCATAATTAAAGACAATGAAGGCCTCCTTCAGCGCTCGGAAGAGCACTACCATTCACTGCTCAACCGAAACACCGATGTGGATTTCCTGACTACCCAGAAGGTCCCTCAGCATCCTAAGCTGACACACCTCATTTATCGTTCATCCCTGGATGAGGTAGCTACTGCCATCAAACCGATGAAAAATAACAAAGCCTCAGGGCCTGATGGAATACCAGACGAGGTGTATAAGGCAGGAGGACCTCTGCTTACCAGCCGTCTCCACTCTCCCTTAGAGAATATATGGGAACAGGAGGAAATCCCCCAAGCTCTTAAAGATGCCTCCATCTTCAATATATATAAGAACAAGCGAGACCTGTCAGACTGTGACAACTACCGAGGGATCTCGTTGCTGTCCTCAGCTGGCAAGATTATCGCCAGAGTCCTCCTAAACAGTCTTCTTCCAGAGGCGAAAAACTTCCTCCCAGAATCTCAATGTGGCTTTAGACCATCGCGTTGCACCACTGACATGATCTTTGCTGCCCGCCAGATACAGGAAAAGTTCAAAGAACAACGTCGTGACCTGTACATGGCTTTCACCGATGTCACCAAAGCCTTCGACTTAGTCAACAGGGAAGCCATCTGGTGGACCCTCAGCCGTTTTAGCAGCCCTCCAAAATTCATTGCCATTGTGAGGCAACTCCACAATGGCATGAACGGCAGTTTACACATAATCGCACCCAGTCTGAGTTCTTCCCCATCCAAATGGGGGTTAAACATAGGTGTGTACTCGCACCAACTCTCGTTTCTATTTTCTTGGCTGCCTTCCTTATTCGTGCCAGTGCCAATTTAGTCAGCGGCTTGGACCTCAAGTACCGGGTGAAGGTTCTTTTCAACATAAGACAGCTCCAGGCAGGAACAAAGGTATCGACAGTTTTCATTACTAAACCTCAGTATGCTCACACTGAACGCGACCTGCAGGAGATCCTGAACACCTACACAGTTGCGTATGCACACTTTGGACTTGCGGTGATTGTACCTAACACTCAGGTTCTCTTTCAGCCTGCCCCTGGTTCCGATACATCTCCTCCATCAATCCAGCTTAACTGTACTACCCTCTCTTATGTTAGCCACTTTCGGTATCACGGCTCCCACCTCTCTACCGCCGCGGACATCGATGAAGAGAATCAGCATCAGATCAGATGTGCATCTCAAACCTTTGGCAGTCTCCGAAACCGTGTCTTCAGCTGTAGAGAACTAGAATTATCTATAAAGTTACATGTATATCGAGCAGTTGTCCTCCCCACCCAACTATATGGCAGCGAGACATGGGTTACAAACACGAGGAACCTCAAGGCACTTGAAAACTTTCACCAACGTAGTCTACGTTCTATCCTCCGAGTTTGCTGGGAAGACAAGAGAACAAATGCCAGTATTCTCGATGACACCAACTGTAAGAGCATCGCGGCTACCATTATCTATGAACAACTACGCTGGACTGGCCATGTTACCCACATGGATGACAGTAGACTGCCAAAGCAGCTACTTTATAGTCACCTAACGAATAGTAAGCATAAAGCTGGCGGGTAACTGAAAAGGTATAAGGACAGAATTAAAACAAACCTGAAAAAGTGCCAAATCGACTCCCTCACCTGGGAGACGATTACTCCACCTCGAAATGCTTGGAGGAGCACCACACGAGAAGGTGTCAATACGTTCAAGTTAGCCTGACTGCAAACCGAGGCAGACAAGCGCCAAAGCCGGGAAGACACTGCCGCTATCCCTCCCGCAATAGATGTAGCCCTCCACATGTGGAACATCTGTGAACGACTCTGCCGGTCCCGTATCGACATCTTTAGTCACTTTAAAATTCACCAATTAAGGTGACATCCCTATTATTTCATATCAATGTATCATAGCTGGATGATCGTCATACTCTATTCCGAATGACAACAAAGTAGTGTGTGTGTGTGTGTGATTGGGTTGGGAGAGTATGATATGTACCGGTGTTTCTTTTTTGGAATATATTCAACTTTGACACCTAATAGACACCCTGTCGCCTATTCGCCTCCCTGACACCTACTCGACACCCAGCCACCTAATCAACACCTCGTCACGGCGCACTTGGAATATCGCCAATAAACGTGTCGATTCTAAGAAGACCGACAGAAAAATTATTTTCTAAGAATATCATCTGGTAATAAGGCCCATTAAAAACAGCATTTTATATAAGCCTTTTTCTATCTATCTATCTATCTATCTTTTCTAACTATATTTATTTATTTATTTATACATTGGTTTCCATAGCTAGAATGCACTAATTACATTTCTCTTACTGTAAAAATGTTATCCAAAGTAAATTTGTTTCATATATATATATATATATATATATATATTTATATATATATATATATATATATATATATATATATATATATATATATATATATATATATATATATATATATATATATATATATATATATATATATATATATATATATATATATATAATATCCCTATACTATAGAAGTATTAGTTATATTTATATATTTGAAGTCTCTGTTTATTTTCCTAACTTGTAAAGGTTCCAAAAAAGCATCTCCATAACAGAAGAGTCCACCCGTATCATACCTGTATAATGTTAAGATTTCAGGTGAAGTGTGTTAATCCTTTCTCTTGTCCTGATGATTACCTGCTCACGACAATCACCGACTGCTGGGGATCTTAAGAGAGTGTGGATGGAGGGAGGAAGGGGAATGTTATGCAGAGAATGTCGATAATTCTACTTAATGACGAACATTCTCACACATGTGTTACAATAAATGGCTTCTGAACCATATATAGAATACAGTATGAGTTGCGTCTTTTGTATTCTGTCTTACCCTTTCCACATGTCCGCCTGTCACTATCTAATGAAGTCCTTCCGATCCCATACGTCCCTTTGTTTCTCTTTTTTGTCCAATCGTAAATCTACCTGTACTCTCTAACTAATTATCTGGGTAAAAAGGAGATGCAGACAATAAAAAGTCTGTCTCATCTTACCACCCAATCACCTTTCTGCTTCTTTCTCCTTTCTATCCAATCGCCTGTCTGTCTTTTCTCTCTGCGCACCCACTTCATAAAGACCTCATCCTCAACTTCGAATTCTTCTTCTTCGTCTCCTCCTCCAACGCCTCCTCCTTCACTAGAGTCGCCCTTCAAGGAGGAGGTCATCGATCACAATGAAAACTTTGCCTGCAGGTGATGGAGAAGACTTCAGAATATCGAGTGTGTGAGGTTTTTAAGATCCCGCTGTGAACTGAAGCCACCTTGGTCGTGTGATTGATTAGATGTGGTAAATGACCCTAGTCTCTCTCTCTCTCTCTCTCTCTCTCTCTCTCTCTCAGACACACTCTGTACCCACCATCAGGGCAGGACAGCTGACAGCTTAATGGGCCGTGGGTTCGAATCCTGGCAGGTTGAGGTTTTGATTGTATGTAGAAGTCCGCGTGCTTTATTGGGCTAATGAAATATATATGGATCCTCGTGTTTCGAAGCCGGATTTGGTAAAACGTTACTCTGACCACCTAAGTGATACGGGTGGTCCCCATTAGAGGTTCACGGCGCCATAAGCTCGTTGAACAGGCTTTGTGTGAAATATAACAAAGTCTAGGACTGCTTTTAGTATCCTGGTGGTCCAGCAGTTAGCGTTCCCAGGTCACAGTCATAGGCTTGTGGGCCGTGGGTTCGAATCCTGGCGGGTTGAGGTGTTGATTGTATATATATATATATATAATATATAAATATATATATATATATTTATATATATATATAATATATATATATATATATATATATATATATATATATATATATATATATATATATATATATATATATATATATATATATATATATATATATATATACTCTTGATGAAATCACATCTTCAGAGGCAACTGGATTACATGGACAGAGAGAGGCTTAAATATACAGGGTGACCTTAAAAACATGAGGTCAGGTCATAATGATGTTATCCACTAATCCCCACACCAACACACACGTAGAGG